GCACAGCATCAGACGTAAAGCAGTTCTATTATTGACTGCAAGAACAGGACGGTCTCTCCGTCTTTGTCTTTTGTCCAAAGGCAAATTTGAATCGTAGATGAGGAGACCAGACCGAGGCGGGGAGGGATGAAGAGATAGTAGTCCAGAAAGGAGATTTTCAGTTTTGTATTGCAAGCATTGTTTGTGTCTTTATGGTATTATGTGAATGTGATGTTGGGATTATGTTTGCCAAGATGAAATTTCCTCCCATTGAGTCACTGTAGTCAGTGTAATTGCATCTAAGTAGAGGAGTGGCATGCAGATATGTGACACTATACTCACCCAGGGTATAGGGATTACACTCATACATGTGCAGACAGCTGATACCTCTATACACAGACATGTGTGCGCACTTGTCTCACTTCCCAGTCACACAACAAAATACACACAGACACACACTGCTGAAGCATCCATCCAAATAGACCTCTAGGATTCGCTAACAGTGCAGATTAAGTGCTATCTTGCTGTGAATGTCACACTGTGACCTCAGCACAGAATGGCAACGAGATGCAGAAAATAGGTAAAAAAAACATATCCCCCTGCGTTGTCTTCATCCTCTTTCCAACTCATTTACTCCCATTGGATGTTGTTCTTCCTCTCGTTGACCTTCTGACATGTTCTTTCTCGCACATTTTCAACCCTCCTTCTCTTTTCCTTTTTGCTGCTATTTTTCATTCCCCCTAGTTCGTCCCTCATCTCACCTTTGCTTCTATTATTCCTCACGTCATGTCTTCCAAATCTATTTTCTCATATGTCCATACATTCAGTCAGCCTCTCACTTTCCTCTGATCTCTCCCTGTCTCCTTCCTCCGCTCTGAGGGGTTGCTGTCCTGCCGGTGTACAGCACAGTGACCATCGATTCATCAAAGTGTCACAGCGCACTGCCGCATCTCTGTGTGCCCGCTACTAAACAACTGCCCTGGCAAAGCAAACAATAGCTCTTACACACAAACACACACAGGTAGAACCTGGAGTGCTGCCCCAGCAAGGTCATACCTCTCCCTGTACACCCATTTGGCAGCACACACGCCGGAGATGGTTGGTGCCAAGCGGATGCTGCCAGTGGCACAGTGGGCTAAGCAGTGGACAACATATCTGTTGGACATCCACAGATATCAAGCATGGTTAACATCCCAGTACAAGCCAATGCAAATAGTTCCCATAGACATGTTGAGGGATAAAATACACCAACCACCAGAACAAGTTTGCAATTTTCCTAATTGCTGAAACAGCTTATTTGCTTCTACTCAATATTCATATTGCTTTACCTGAACTTGCACAACTTGAGAAAACATGACCTTCTACTTTGCTGGTGGTCTTCCCGGGCTAAAACAGCATGGCCAGCAGTCTGTTTATGGGGTCTTTATGGTGTGTCAGTAGGGTCAGCTGCAGGATGGGCTCTTCTCTGCAGATTTACACAGAGGGGCTTCACAGTAGGTCAACAGCTCCCAGCAGCTAATTTCATAATGCACCCTGGGCAAGGCTTAAATAATTCAACCAAGCCCCAAGTGCAGGATCTACTTAATCATAGGCTCTGGGTTTTCAAAGAACAGAGAGAGTGGACTCCTCAGTTTACCTCAACCGCACTTGTATCTTGTGGTGGTTATTACTGCATAATGTGAAAATCAAACTTGATGATTCTGTAAAGCGGCCCTTAATGCTCACAAAAGTGGATTCTCAAGTCAACTCTGATGTGTCTGTTTTTGTCCAATTCAATTCTGGCCATGTATTTTTCAGCAAGGATAAAATGTTTCTGGCTGCAGCCAAAAAAGCAGCCTCTCTAAAAGCACTATCTTGGTCTTTTATCCCAGATTGTGTGCGTCATTATCGATTTAAGAGTCGGTCACTTGGCACAGGTGTGCTTACACTTCAAAATAGCATTCGGTGGAGCTCTGGCAGACTCAGTAGACTTATTCTCTCTCATGTTTTTTTATTTTTTATTATTTAGCTTCACTTAATTAATTTAAACTCAAGCTTTACTGCCTGGTTGATCACCTGTCATATATCAGTATGTACAGCATGTTAATAACACTCACATATATGAAAAACCTGTCTGTCCTCGAGAGTCACAGAATCATTTCTGTCTTCCAGCATTTAAATTCTATTCTACTGATTAATACCAATTCAGTTGCCTTAACCTCCCTGGTATTGTTTTGTAATTCAGCCCAGCAGCCCGTACATCCCTAACTCATTGCCTATGTGCAAGAGATTCCCAATCCACTCTAACCCCTATCAAGCTCTGCCATCAGGCCGCTGTATGAGCCATTGATTGGCATTTGTCTGATAGAAGACCCGTAATGAAGGAGATGATGAGGAGATTATTGAACAGGCTGTGTATATGAAAATCAGGTAGGGATGTGGATTCAGAGGTTTTACCTGGATATTAGTATTGACCTGATGGTAATTGGGAGGGTGGATGCTCACTTGCTGTGCCTATTTAAAGGCTTTAATGAAAAATCTGATGAAGATAGCCTTTGCTTTGTTCTTGTCTCTTGTTACTGGTTAAATATAAGGACTACATACTGTGATGCTCAGTTATTTTCAGCACTTCCCACAATAAAGGTCATATTTATTTACCACTAATGTAATTAAACACTATTTTATTCATTTCATTGTACAGTTTTCCATAAGAATGAATTGTAATACTTGCAGATCTCAACAGCAAACAAAGAGCTGAACTCTCACTGCAGCATTATACACCTAACTAAAGTTAATTCAAGTGGCCAGGGTTTAAGTGCACACACATTAGCGTCTTTCGGAAGAGGTCAAGCAGATATGAAGTGCTGAAAAGTGGCGGCTAAGGGAGGGCCCTGCTCATTTTTCGGCGAGACAGGCCCCTGAGGGAGTCAACAGTGGCATGATGGATATACTGTGACTGGAGATGCTATTATCCTCCTGCTGTTGCTGATGCCATCCAGACAGTCTGGCTCTCTAACCCCTGACACTATCCCCCCTTTTCTCCTCCCCGGAAAAAACTGATACCATTTTGCTGTGCTACCTGGAACAAAAAGCTAATATTGGTTTTGTTTGTTTGTGCGTGTCAGTGAGTGTTGTACCAGCGGCATCTCCGAATTTCATAAACACCCTGATGTGGCATGTTGCCCCAGAAATCTTAAACACTGGGCTTGATTATTGCTGTGAAAACAAATGCAGGGTTCACTCGTCTGGCTAACCAGGGATTATCCATGTCCATGCTTAATTCTTTTTGTCATTTCTTCTTTTTTTCTCTCTGTACATTGCGAAAGAAATCTGCTTTTATTCATTTCGGTTGTGAGTAAGACTGAGATGAATGAAAATTGCTCTCTTTTTATCTTCTGTTGTCTTCATGCTTGGTGCCTTATTACCTGTAAATCCCCGCTGTTTTTTGTTTTTTTTGTGAGGCACGTTACAGAGTGAAAATTTGGACAGATTGGTTGCTTTGAGATTGTTCCACCATCAGAGAGTGCACACACAGTAGCACAGGATCTGTATGTTTCACAAGTATTCAATAAGGGATACACATCCCCCTGGTGGGATTTAACAAACCAGCCTTCACATTTACATGTTTCGAAGCTGCAGTGTGTTCACTGAAGATTCTTGTCTTTTAATGCCCTGTTTTAAAATGCTCAGGTAGTATAGCTAATTCTAATGCACTGATTTATTCCAGACATTTACACAGTTATGAGTATGGAAACTAACAAAACAAAAATCATATCTACTGTGAGCGCTGCATTGTTTGTGTTGTTGAATAATGTGTGTTATGCAGATAACAGATGTCCTCCAATTATACTCTCCTAATTACATTTTAATCAGGCTGCATTATGATTCAGGTTTGTGGCTGAAGCAAACAAAGGGGAAAATACAGATCATTTGTATAAATAGCATGTATTCTTGCATGACATTCTAATTTAATACCTCTGTGAGAATATTTATTTATGTTAAGTTCATTTTGTGTAGCTATAACTTCTGGACATGTTGTGTTCCTGCTGTCTTAGTTCAAAAGCTACAACACATGAGGCTATTCATGGTGTGTGATTGCACAATGTTTTCATATTTTATTCTCTTGTCACCTGTCAGTGGCAGACTAAAAGCGGACCGCTCACATTTAGCTGTCTGGGGGATGGAAATTAACTTTAACGGGAACCTCTTTTTGATTGGAGGAGATAACTATCACTAAATATATCTAAATATGAGGATCAAATGAGAAAATCCACACATGCACATACAGACGCTAATTTGCACATCAGCACTGAAAACACACACTGACAACATGCAGAGCTGCACAAAATATAAGTGCAATCACACATTAGTCCACATTAGCGATTAATTATAACTAAATCCCTAATATTGATTAAATGTCTTGGCTGTGCTCAGATCAGCGGAAGACAAGTCATTTAGCTTGGCCAACACACATATAGCACTGATAAATGGCAACACACACGACTGAAATTTAAGATTGAATTCAGTATGAGTGGCTGTCATTTAAAATCCAAGATCAGTACAATTAATGCAGTAATCAAGTGTCTCTCTTTGTGTGTGTGTGTGTGTGTGTGTGTGTGTGTGTGTGTGTGTGTTGTATGTGTGTGTGCGTGTGTTAACTCTCCCCTCCTGTCCCCTCATCTTCTCCCCTCCAGCTATGTCATGTATAAACGTGGGAACCTATTACTAATGTGTTGAAAGGGCCAGTGAGTGAACAAGTGTGACGATGGAAGTGGTAGAGGTGGGGAAGCAGGGAGAGGGTGAGCCATTTAGCACTGCTATATTAATGGCTTCTGCTGCACGCTGTAGGTGATAATGGATGTTGCAGCACTTGGTGCAAACTGTTTGACTGTGGGAGTGCATTTGTGTGTGGATTTGTATAATTTCCATTCTTGTGTCTTTTATTTGGTTTTATGCTCTTTTAATACTTCAAAACTTTCTGCACTCTGCTAGCTGCTTCAACACGCAATAATCATTTATTTTTCTTTTTTTTCTCTTCACAGCTCAGAACTGCAGTTACACACTACACAGTCCCAATGGGACAATAGAGAGCCCCGGCTACCCTTACGGTTACCCTAACTATGCCAACTGTACATGGGTGATTGTGGCAGCTGAGCACAACCGGATACAGCTCGTGTTTCAAGGCTTCGCCCTAGAGGAGGACTTTGACATCTTGTCTGTATATGACGGGCCACCTAGCCCGGGGAACCTGCGGACAAGGTAATTATGTGCATATATGTGTTGGTTTTTATTATGTTGCAGGTTTTATCTGACTTGAATGCCAATATAGATTTTCATAAAGCTGTCATGAAACCCACAGGAAACCCATTTTTTTTAAATGTAGTTATGTAGTAATTTGACATTTAAAGGATACATATGCATGGAAATTAAATTTTTGCAATAACGAAGGTATGATTGTGAGAGGTTTATTACAATAAACCTAAATGGGTAAATCACATTCATATGGAAATCATTCCTACTGATAATAAGGACACTGAACCCAACAAGTTAACCCCTCCAACTGGACTATTTTTGATCATTAGATGCTTGCAATGAAGTGAAAACTGTGATTTCCATCAGGATTATTTGATCTGATAGGGCGTTCTTTTTGGTCATGATCGCCACAATAAAAAAGAAGAGAGTTTAATCTATTGAAACATATTATGTCTGCATAACATTTTGTAGTACTAGCAGTCCATAAAACTTCTACATAGTGCTCGTGTCCAACAGGCAGAACAGTGGGACGTGAAGAGCTGAGATCTGGGAACACTGTGATATTGCCCAAAACAAAAGGCAGATGAGGCAAGAAACATGAGCATTCAGACAATCAGAGATTTTTCAAATAAAGACTGGAAGTTGCAGACTAACCTCCTGGTTCAGTTTATCGCGTACACACAATGAGGGCTTATTAGTGACATTTTAGGTTCACTCGATTTTGTTTTTATCTCCTTACACAGCCAAGTGGTAGCTAATCTAGCTAACATCTTGTTTGCAACCTGTCTGTTCATCTATCACTGTTTTCCTATATCTCTGCAATTATTGTAGTGTGTACAAAGTTACTGTAACCAATAAAAAAAGCCAAAACCATCTTATTAAGACCCAAATTGTCTTAAACTTGAAAATGTCCTTCATAGAGACATTTGGACATAAGGGTATTGATGAAGGCAGTGGACTGGAAACCTGAAAAGAGGCAAAACTATAATCAAGCCTATAATCAGTGATGCATTTAGAGGCAGTTGAAGCAGATCTTTTAGTGACTAATTGAAGGCTGACTCTGTGGAGTCTATGACACAATCCAAGGTTATACGGTGGGATTATGGGCACATTTTGTGCTTCAGAGCTCCTAGCAAAATTAAATGAAGCTCACTTGGGTGTGAAGATTCAAACAAACAATTTCTGAATCAACAGTCTCATCCTCTTGTACAACCGTCAATTTAACAGCCTCAGAAAGGGCTGCCTTGTGCTAACATCGCAAACTGAAAATATTGGCTCTCTGGTTTGCAGAGCTTACATGTTTTCGGGATTTTAGAAATAAATATTGTTAGGCTGGATTGCCATCTAAAGAGCCACACTTCTATTTGTATTAGCTGCAATTATAAGATACAGCCACAGAGCTGCTATTCACTGATGCATTTATGTATTTCTGGATATTATTGCTTGCACTCTAATATCAGATCTCTTGGCAGTCCCTCACTTACAGGGCAACTTAATTAGAGACAATTTCTGCATCTGATCAGTTGAAGCTACACCAAAGCTGCTTTTAATTCCCTTCACCTTCTGCTATGAGCTTGGCCTTGCAAATAGTTGAAAGCATATGTCACGCAAATCCTCTAGAGACAGATGAGAGAAATACTCTTAAGGGCTTTTGTTATTGACACTGTTTTGAGTCTCTGTCGGCCTCTGTTTCTCCCCATCGAAATCTCTCCGTCTCTCACCTCCTCTCTGCTCCCTCCCCTCCCTGCGCCTCTTATTCTGTGCCAATGGTGCCTCCACTGCATCTCCCTGCAGAAAGCAAATGAAAGAGAGAAGAAAATCCATTATGGATTGGTGTTGCGCTGTTCTCCTCAGCCTTTCTCCTGTTTGGACCTCTGGGCTCTGTTGTATATTGATGCTCCAGTGGGATGATGGGGGGAAAGCGTTCCACTCTCTCCGTCTAAGAGCTTTGAAAATAAGTGAGAGGAAAGAATATGAATTTGAGAAGGAGAAGGAAAGGGGGTGGGGGGTAAGAAAAGAGAGAAAAATACAGAATAAATGAGAGAGATGGAAAAGCAGTTGGAGTGTTCAAGAGTTTGTAGGGAACACAGATCTCCTTTAGATTCTGCTCGTGTTGGCTTTGACCAGAGCTCCTCTCTTTTCAAAGGAGGCATTTTGTAAAAGTGAGACTTCAAGCTTTATCTATGAGTGAGCTTGGAAAGGCTGGGAATAGGCTGGAAGCAGCTCTTTCCAGTCAACAGCAGTCTGTCAGGACACACATGTATGTTTACACTCAACTCTACCTACACCACACACACACACAAACAAACATACACACACACATTCAAGGGCACATTTTTTTATACACGCTAAAAGATGCATGCTTGATAATTCAGCCCTCCTTTTGCTCTCATCTCCCACTTGTGTCAAAAGTAATTTTCTTTCCATCTCTCTTGCTCCTCTTCCTCCAATTTTTCCTAACCTCCCCTCATTTCCTCCTCACCTATCATTTTTAATGTCTTATCTCGTCTGCCTGTTCTCCATTTTGTGTCCTGCACGCTGCGTTCACTGAATTTGATCAGGCTTTCATGTGTACCATGCTATAGGTTGTAAAGCACAGACTATTTCCTTTAATCTCAAGTACTCATCAAAAATGAATGTTTTGACTCATTTCATGTTCAAATGATCACCTTTGATTTCTTTTTCAAAGCAGTCACTGTCCTTTAAATTTGTTTGTTTGTCCATTAATTTATTCGTTGCTGTCACAGAAAAATGTTATCATGAGAATGCTGGGTTCAGCTATATATATTTGCGTATATGCACCTTGGTGTGTTTGTGAGTGTGTGCACTCCTGCAGCAGTTGCTTTATGAGTCACAGTCACTCCTTTGGAAATGCATATATGAGTCAGTCTGTTGCTGCAGCACTCCATTAAACTGCTGATCCCAGCTGACACCTGGGAAGCGGAGAGAAAATTCGATGGAAGTTTCAATTGTTTGAAATGTAAAAAGGAATTGATATACATGTATGTTCCAAATGGCAAGCGCAAGCTGCTGTCAATATTTGATAGCTGTTAATTAAGCAGAGCATTCATTCCCAGAGATGGTGTAGTGATTGAGTGATTGAGTGGTTAAGTGCATCTTGCGCTTTGAGTGTTGTGGAAGCTATCAATTACTTACCACGGGGGGAGATTGAACTGCAACGAAACTAAACCTCAAGGTGAAATCTGACTTAAGTAGTCCAGACGTCTATGTAAAAACTTAATCCTATCCACCTATTTGCATGTTGACATATTTTTCTATTTTGCAGTTGAGTTCAGAAGATGTTTCTAATGGCCACAGTTTGAGTCTGAATGTAAAATTAAACCTAATAAACTTAAGGTGCAGTTGTAAAGGACTAAATAGCTGTTTTTGCATCTTTCAGCCTGTTCATTTGATACTTGAAGGAATGGTCTGTGCCTGGTTCTTATTCATCAAACTTTAGCTCTAACTTTCTGTCTGTGTACAGATTTAATGAAGAAGATATTTTTTTTAAGTTAATTTGTGTTTTAGAAGCGTTGGTAGCCGTTTCCCCTTGCCTCCAGTCTTTATTCTAAGCTACATAACAACCTTTTTCCAGCTCTGTGCTTACATATCCTAAAAACATGAGATCAATCTTCTCATCCAACTCCCTGCAAAAAAAGTATTTCTTCTTTCGATTGGTTTCCAATCTTCAGAAGCAATTGGTTTCCAACTATTTCAAGAAAATATTAAAAACAACTTGCCATGGGGCGCTCAGTTAACTCACCTGGTAGAGCTTTCGCTTCACCAATGCTGAGTCCATGCTGCAGCAGCCCAAGGCTTAAATCTGACCTGTGGTGGGCGCCTGGTTAGCTCAGTGGGTAGTGCTGGCGACCCATGTACCGAGGCTGAGTCCTTGCTGCAGGGGCCCAGTGTTCGAATCCAATTCAGCTGTCTCTATCATAAAGGCAATAAAAGCCCCCAAACAAATCCTTAAAAAAAAAAAAAAATCCTGACCTGTGGCCCTTTGCTGGTGTGTGTGTTGTGTGTGTGTGTGTGTGTGTGTGTGTGTGTGTGTGTCCCCTTTCCGGTTACCATCAATTAAAGGCAATAAAAGACATTTTTTTAAAACTCACAGCAGGCATGTGGTAACACAGCAAACACAACCTGTTATGTAAATTTTCATGTTGACTGCTTTTTCTTTGAGAATCAACAAACCACAGCCTTGTTAACATGGTGGACCTTGAGATTCACATAATCCTTTTCACAAAATCCATGTTATTGCTTATTGTTTGTCCAGGGAGAATGATTTTACAACAATACAGCTTATGAATGTAACTCTTTGCTCTGTGAAGAAAGAGTATTTTTGAATGCATCAGTTGAATGGGCAGTTTTCAAAGAGGTCCAACTGCATTAAAACCTCAGAAAATGAAATTGTTACTATGATGGATTGCCTGCATATAGTTTCTGGAGGTTTTGAACACACTTAAATATATGGAAATTAGTGGCTGCCAGAAGGGCAGAAAATAAATATAAATAATTGTGGCATCTTTTGACAAATGGTCAGTAAAGTAGTGAAGCATGCATGAATTGTACTTGCAAAATCCATGGTGTGGCTTTCCTCAATTTAACATTAAAAATCCCTTTCTCGCAATTCCATCCTGTCTGTTGTCAAAATTGTTTGTGTTAGCAATAGTTAATTACATTTTAATAATGCAGTAAAACGACCAGTTTAGCAATTATCTGGTCATTTATCTGCAGTGAAATTATTGTTATGTAACGTCCTCCTAGGCTCTCTTCAACCCAAGACACCAGGGTTAAAGAGAGACTTTTCTATTGCAGCACAGTAGCCACAGAGACCTTCCCATGACTAAAGTAACAGCCAACTTAACCTTAAGTGAGACACTGAACCTCTACCAGCTCACTCACTGTCACTCTGTACGACAGCACACATTTCTTACTTGTAAAAAGCAATCCTTTTTTTTTTTTTTCTCGCTTTTGTGTCACATTTCACCTTGTAACTGCCAATT